TGAGAATACAATCTAAACTGTCGGGCTGGACAGTATGGGAGGAGGTGGCCCTTCAAGTACAATATAATACACATAAATTGTTTTTCAGAGCCCTGTGTGTGTAGTTAACCTCCTGGAAAGGGGATCTGATGAAATAAAAGGCATAAATTCTAGGCTCCCTTAGCCAAAATTCAAAATGCATCCACCACAGCATGTATCCGCTTGCATAAAAGCCTGCAACACGCAACAGCCACCACCACCACCCAGTGTCTAGCTAGGGGCATTTTTTATTGTGCTTTGAAAGCTGCCTACAAAATCTGCATCTTTACATTGGACTGGGCTATTCAAACGCCTACTAATAGTCAGTCCTTAATTATATATTTTGAGACTGTACACTATTCCTAAAATGTATTGTGGCTATTTTTCAGTAATGGCACAATCTCACCATATGTTGTCGAAGGCTTTCACGGCCGGAGTTCATTAGTTGCTGTAGATTTTCCAGGTTGTATGGTCGTGGTCTTGGCATTGTAGAATCTGACGTTTCACCAGTAGCTGTGACTGGCATCCTCAGAGGTATAACACAGAAAGATGGAGTATTCCCTGTGTCAAGGTGAGAAGAAAAATGGTAGGCAGGTAATTTATATCTACTCCAGAAAGTGGGGTAGGGCTGAGTCATTATCTTGTAGGAGTTCCCCAGGCTATGAACATGATAATAAAGGAGCTTTCCTGAGGAGGTTCTTTTGTATATGGATTGTTTCCTGAGAAGGTTTCCTGTTTCCTGAGGAGGTTCTTTTGTATGTGGATTGGCTGTTGAAATTCTAATCTTATCTGTGGTGCTATTGTCAGATGTAGAGCCTTTTGTCTTTTTCAGGACAGGAAACCATGCCCTATTTATTTTTAAACTCTCTTCTTTCCTGTTGAAATTGTGCTTATGTCTATGAACTTCAATGGCTTCCCTGTGTAATCTGACATGGTAATTGGAAGTGTTGTCCAACCTTTCCGTGTCTTGGAACAAAATACTGTGTCCTGTTTGAGTTAGGCTATGTTCAGCCACTGCTGATTTTTCAGGTTGGCCAAGTCTGCAGTGTCTTTCATGTTCTTTTTTTTTTAAATTATAATTTTATTTTCGTTATAAAGTAGGATACATAAAAGTTCAGAATAATGACAGTAATAACAAGCTTATATCAAGGTAGGTAACATCAAAAGTCAGAAAAAGTACAATTAATTGTTTCAAAAATAGAAGAATATACTTTCCACTCTAAAATCAAAGAATAGAGCAAAGATCAACAAAATTTTGGCATATGGGTGCTAACTAAGTTCCATTGTTTGATAATTAACCAGTATATGTACAACTAGCGAATTAGTTTTATTTTTGCTGCTGCCAATGTCGGGAGAGGGTTTACATCCATTCCCTAAATTGCTGCCAAGAGGAGGGTAAGAAATCTTCTGTTGCTAAGAATTCCAATATAGGATCCTATTTTTCCATTACAGGTTTTTCTATGGATTTTTGGGT